ATATATATATATATATATATATATTTAATCTTGATCTTCCATGTTTATTGTTTTATGAATTTTTAATTTGCATAGGAAACACGGCAGTAAAATTTTTGGTATCGATCAAGCTAATATGGATAAACGCAATGGAAAAAAATTGACAACAATGAGAAGATAAAAATGGTTTATGATGACAATCGGAGTTCGAGGTCGGGAAGTGAAGAAATTAACCAAAACGAATGTCTTGGTAATAGATTAATATTTTTATTAGATTCGTTTTAATTGAAATTATGTTTATTACGATGTGTTGTGTTTTTTATAATTCATCTTGTATTGATATCTTTTTTCTTTAATTGCACTACATGTTCATAGCATAAATGTTATGTGTTCATATATTTTATACGATATAAACAAGAGGTGAACAATCACATAAGACCAGAAACATATATGAACAACGGGTGAACCTTAACGGTGTGGATGCAATGCATGTATAAAACTTCAATTGACAAATGATCGCTCTTGAATGTGTTTATAATGAAGGAACTATTGTCCACAAGCTGTTCATATTGTGTTCATACCTGTTTTTTTTATTTATTTCATTTCATATAACAATTATTCTTATTGTGTTCATAAATGTTATGCAATCCAAGTTCATATATATGTCAATTTTTTGTTCGTATTCGACACAATGGTTCATATATATATATATATATATATATAGTTGTGTTCATATGGTTCTTATATTAATAAAAATAAATTAACAAAAATTATAGAATTTTTTGATTTTGCAACTCCCAATTAATGATATGGGAGTTACATAATTTTTTTTACCTAAATACCCTTTTCAACTTTGTTCACTTATTTTTATGAAATTTTAAATTTAAAAAAGGAAAAAGTCTAAAAAAAACCCAATTGACTTTAGTGTTTGAAATGATTAAGTCCTTGGACAATTTTTTGGAACAAATAAGTTCTTGGACATTTCAAAACATGTTAAATAACTTCTTGGACACTTTTTTGGAACAAATAAGTCCTTGAACAATTAAAAACATGTTAAATAACTCATTGGACAATTTTTTGGAACAAATATGTCCTTGGACAATCCAAAACATGTTAAATAAGTCCTTGGACTTTTCTAAAACTTATTGGATACATTCTTATGACTTGTACAACTAGTTAATGTGGTAAAATAATGTAAAAAATCCGAAAAAAAACTTAATGAACATTCATACTTTGAACGATTAAGTCCCTAAACATTTTTTGAACCAAAAAGTATTTAGATCTATAAAATTAAACAAATATAACAAAAAAAAAATACTTATATTTACAAAAAAAAAAATTACATTTAAAAAAGATTTTTGATAAAATTTATTTTAATTAAAAATATATTTAGTCAGTGATTTTTTAAACTAAAAAAATTATAAA